GGCTTGGCTCTTACTAGCCCGTGCAGTCGCCCATTCCCAGGAGTCTGGGGACCTGCACATGCAAGGGATCGGTGCTTTTTTGCCGAGTACTGAATTCTGCTGTCTTGTTGCAGGGCTGACTTAGGGTGATTTGCTGAACAAATTCCCCAAGCCTCAACTTGCAACATCTGAATTTGGAGGATGGTTGCAGAAGGCTGCAGAATGAGCCGAGAATGTAACTAGTGACTTAGCCTCCTTGTTTCTCTGAGCTGCAGGATCGGTGCACTGCTAGGGGAACAGAACTTAGGGGAGGAGACCTGCAGGGGTGTGGATCAGAATTTTATTTTATGCCAAATATCTGACTGCGTGAAAAATAATTGCATGTGAGTGAGCAGTGGGTGAGCTCACTCATTCTAGAGCAATGTTTTCTGTACTGTTCTGGCTGTGACCTACATTAAGAAATAAAATTTACACTATGACCCTGAACATACAGCATGTATGTTACAGTCTAATTTCAGTTCATGCATGACTACCTCCCTTTGCATGGTCCCATCTTCTTTAACATTTTTGGGGGAGTCGGTCTTATTGTTTTTCATTAGAAGAACAGTTGTTAGCTGGGCATGGTAATACATGCTTGGGAGGGAGGTTGAGACAGGAGGATTGAAAGTTCAAGGTCATCCTTAGCAACTATGGGAGACCCTGTCTAAATATCAAAACAGCTGTTGTTCCTAAGTTCATGGAGTTATTCTCTGATGAAATAGTGGGTCACAATGCATGAACCGTTTGAAAAGCGAGGAATGTTCACATTCAGTAAACATTTATTAAGTTGTGCGTGTGTGAACATATACTTCACAGTACTGAAGGTAGAAAGATACAAATGAGAGATAGAAACTGTTCAGTCTTTTTGGAGGTTTAAGGCGTGGCTTGGATTAAGGAGCAGGGAGAGATGATTAAATTCCAGCAATGAAAAACAAATGTCTGCAGTGTATGAAAAAGGGGTGGTAGTCAGGGATTTAGTTCAGTAGCATAAGTGCCTGCCTGGCAAGTGCCAGGTTGTGAGTTCAATCCCTGGTACAAAAAAAAAAAAAAAAAAAAAAGGAAAAAGGGATCATGATATGTGCAGTGTAGATAGACAAAACTCTTGGGATGAAAGAAGTCTGGGGTGAACAGTTTCGGTGTCTCAAATGTCGCATGGGAGAAACTCATGTGCAAGTTAGAGGAGTTAGGAGCGACATAGCATGTGCGTGTGGGTGTGAAGAACATGGGACTGTTGTGATAGAGCGGGGGAAATTAGATTGGAGAGGTAGGAAGTATATAGGTCTGTATTAAGGAGGGATTTGTAGAAATTTTCAAGCCTATATGCTGTTACAGTTTGGATAGCATAAAGGCTTTTAAACATTAGGAATAATCCAGAAAACCTGTGGGCTTTTTGAAAAGACTCAGATCTGACCGTCATTTCCTGCAGAGGGGTGGTCATTGCCTATGGAAAGGGTCAGGCCTGCTGCTCCCAAGCATCATGATTCCAGCATCCTCTCTTGCCTGCCTGGGTCCAGTTGCTTGGCATTTCTCGCTGTGTCCCATCAGCATTTGGCTTTGTGACCTCAGTTTTCAAGTCTTGGATGCCATGCTGGAGAATGTGTGCTGCTGTCACAGGCCATGGGTGCCCCCCTCCCCGCCCCAAGGATTCTGGCAGGAGCCAGAGACTATGGAATCCGAGGATTCCAGCGCCATGCTTTGCTTTAGGCCAGTGAGCAGCTCTTGCTGGGGAGCTGCTGGCTGGGCCTTGGAAATATTTTCATGATGAACAGCATGGGATTTACTAGAGAGGGCTTTGCTTTGTCATCTAGAAAGCGAGGGAAACTTCTAGCAATCTGAAGTTCTCTCCTGCCTCTACTTCTGGTTGGTGTGATTAGATCTTGGCTCCTGGCATGTCGCTCTGAAAGGGATGTTGGGGTTATGAGTTGGTGAGTTGTGAGTCACAGCTGTCAGTTGCCTTGCGACATTAGATTCTGAGATGCTTTGGTTCTGTGGGCCCATAAAAGAAGACCAAGGAGAAGCGGGAGCCCCAGTGGGAAAGGGTGCATAGTCTGGAGAGGTTCATATTGGCTGCAGAGTATCTGGCTCAAGCCCAGGTATTAATGCATATGGCTACAGAAGAGTAGGTGTGTTTGGGGCAGCTGGTGTGGGATGTCTTTATGGCTGAGGACACTCTGGCTTTTCCAGGAGTCCTAACTACCCACCATTCAGAGCTCCTCCCAGGTGAGCTGCAGGTGACAGGGGCTGACCAATGGTTTCCCTGCTTTTTACAGGTAGGACAAAATTTACCTAAAAGTATTGCTTTTTTTTTTTAAACACACAGATACAAGTTAGGAATTTTCTTAAAAGCATATGGCCATAGGATGCAAGGGTACCTAGAAGTCAGCTGAATTACATCAAGTTGAATCTATTTCCTGTTTTATGTGATGTTTTGCTTACTAAACCAGAAGGGAATGATGCAGCAGCTTTAGTAAAGTAGTTCACAGTTTCTTAAGATATACTTGTCTGTATTAAATCATAAGTAGTATGATTTAATAGCAGGGGCTGGGTGGTGGTATTGGTTTAATTTAGGGATCCTATGCAAATGCTGTTAGTTACTGGTGCAGAGTCAGCCTGGGAGGAGGTCAGCAAGGGAGCACCACAGGGCTCTGATTTTGGCTTGGGTTGGGTTGAGTATAAGGAAGATGCCTTTGTCTGATTTGAAGGCCCAGAGCTGGGAAGGACTGCTTAGTCTGTAGATAAATCAGAGTCATCTAGAATGAAGACCTCAAATTAAAAAGAAAAAGAGACGGTGTGGCGGTGCACGTGTGTGATTCCAGCTAATTGGGAGACTGAGGCAGGAGGATTGCAAGTTCCAGCCCTGCTTGGGTAACTGTGAGCGTCTTTCTCTAAATAAATAAACAAATGGGGCTAACTAGGGTTGTAGCTCACAGCCCCTTCCCTCATTTCTGTAAAGAATAAATATAAAGCGTGGTTCAGTTTTACACATTTGAGCTGAAATCTCAAGATGGCCAAATAGTGTAATCAGATAATTATTCTTCTGGGGATGTAGCTGAGACAAAACATGAAATATAGATGATATTTTTATGCACCCATCAATCAGATTTTTTTAAAAACTCTAGTAAAAAATTGGTAGCAACCTATATTTCCACTGGTGTGGGCTGGAGATAGTGTTTAGGTGAATTCCAGTGGATGTGTCTTTAAAATGGAGGCTTATGAAGTTATGCAAAATAATATTTAGGAGCAAATTAAAAGATAATCAGGGACTATGTTTCTGGTAAAAGTTACAGTGTGCCTACCATCTAATTCCAAAGGTTTAAAAAAACATGCCTAGAAAATAACTGGAAGGAAGTTTCCTAATAATACCAAACCTCCCTTGTTTCTAGATGGGTTGAGCTAAGTGAATTTCTCTTTTTCATGCTTTTAAATTTATTATTTGCCAGTGGGAGAAAAAACCACTCCTTTAAACACCTCTTGTTGTTTGAGGACAGGATGGAGTAGATGATTCATGTGGAGATTATTGTTGAGTACCTACCTGCCCCGTGTCAAGTGTTGGCTTAGATACCACGCTCACAAAATAACACCCAGCACCTGACTCTGGCACAGGCCACTGTGGAAGGCCAGGCTGTCTGGTGGAAAGTCTTGTGTTTTTTTTCCCTGTCATTTATGAGTTCAGCATGGAGTCCTCAGTGGGTTGAGGCTTTCCAAATATCAAAGTCAGTGGAGAATCCCAGGATCCAGTTTTAATGACCTTGGTCATATGACCTTTGGACTCCTGGGGTGATTTTAAAGGAACCTGAGCATCAGGACTTGATCCACAAAGGAGAATAGGGTGACAGAGACTCAGGAGTGACCTGTATGGGCTTGTGGAGGGGGTCAGCAGTAGTGCCTATAAAAGGCTTTCATGGTTGTCAGGGTGTTCATTTCTTTGTTTTTGGTACCGGGAATTGAACTCATGACCTTGTACTTGCCAGGCAAGTGCTTGAGCCCCTGAGCCAAATCCCTGATCCTAGGTTTGGCGCCATAGGTAAATTCCCAGGGGTGGGGAAGATGACATCACGGTAAATTCCTAGGGGTGGGGGAGATAGGAGCTTCCTGGTTCCTGTTGAGGCTTTTCTGGCTAGAGTCCTGTCTGGACCAAAACCCTTTCAAATTTAGTTTGACATAATCTCTTTAAATGGTTGGCAGCAGTCATTTAGGGCTCTTGTCATTCCATATAGTGAGGCACCTTGGGAGAGCGCCCCACCCCATCTCTCCCCAGTGCTATTCAGTTTAGGGCTCTGGCCAGCTACCTCAGCAAGCTTTTGTGCAGTTAGGAGCCATGCAGCCGTGTTCCCGTGGCACAGCTTCTTACACATCTTTTCTGAGCCTCACTAGCTTATTCTCCGTGTGTTTTGTTTCTGTAGGCAGGGGCTGAACAAGCGTTGTGTGTTTTCACTTCAGTTACATTTATTGGTTCATTTGGGACATACCTAATGATCATCATAGAGGATTTGTACCTCTACATGGTACTGTTTACTTTCCCATTCCCCTACCCTCCCTTCAACGTTCCTCCCCTTATCCATTTACAAACTTTCCTTTCCACGTTTTCTTTCTGTTTTGTGTTAAGTAATCAGATTTACAGTCTTTTCCCTTTTTGCTTCTTGATTTTTGAGACATAATCAGGAAAGACCTGTTGAGTACATAGAAAAAAATCACCCAACGCTTTTTTGATATAGTCGTTTGTTTCTGCCATCAGTTGATGATCCTTTTAATCCACACTGTGAATAACGAGGGGAGGCTCTGTCATCTACAATGCCAGCCACCTGGGACTGGGCCATGGCTCTGAGGTGAGCCGCAGCGCGAGGGGTCTGCACCCTGAACTTTGACGCGTGGCCCCGCCCCACCCGGGCGAAGGTGCCAGCCAGGCCAGCAGCCAGGTAGAGGCACTTGCAAGGCACGGTGCCCAGCTCCAGCGGTGAAGGCGCCTGAGCTTGGTGCCCTAGCAAGGCTACTGGCCAGCCTTGCTCTGCTGCCACGGGACCCCGCCCCCGGCCGCCCTCATTGGGCGCGCCACCCGCCAGCCTCCTTCACTGGACGCTCCCGCCAAGCCCCCGCGCGGTGTCCAGCTTTCGTCCCGCCCCCTCTGTGAAGCCCTGCCCCTTTGTGGTGGTTCTGGAGACCCTCTGTTACCTATGTTTATGGTTCATAGAGCAGCAGGAAGCCGAAGGTGTAGCTGTGCAGTTCCGCCCTCTGCTGCCACTGCCACTGGGAAAGACTTCTTTGCCACTGCCGGGTCCGGCCCAGTCGGGCCAGGTCCTGCCCGGTCCTGCCATGCCCGGCCGGTCCCCAGCGAGCGGTCCTTCGCTATGGACACGGTATCAGCCACTGTAGCCTGGGTCTTCGCATCCCCGGGCACCCCCGAGCTGCTGAAGCCCCTGTGGAAGCTGTACTTGGCCTTTGTAGCCCTGCTACTGAAGGTGAGGCGGGGGAACCAGGGTTGGGCAAGGGGCACTGGTCGCCTGCTGGTGGGACTGTCCCTTCGGAAGGTACCCGACAGGCAGGATCGTGGTGTGGACCACAGAGGGCCGGCTGTCTTGAGGGAGCGGCATGGTCTGAAGCCAGCCATCGCCTTATGAGCCACATTCACGCCCCACCTGTTTCCTTGCAAGGATTGTTTCCTGAGGGTGCACCGAATTGAGATGCAGCCTCCTGGAGGAGTGATGCCTGATTTGTGGCGATCATTGTCATAGTGCTTTTGCTTGCAGACGCACAAACCGATGGCTTCTATCATGTATTTACAATGTGGGGTGGGTGTGTGTGGGTGTGTGTGTTTGTGTGTGAGTGTGTGTGTGAGTGTGTGTGTGTGCACGCATGTGCAGCAATAGAAAACAGGTCACCTAAGCGTGATCTGGGCCCTGCGTGAGACACTGCAATGAAGAAGGGCTGTTGGCCAACTGGGAAATAGGCTCAACTCACTCCCTAAGTTTAGAGACTCCACATATGGGACAAGAAAGTGAGCCTGACTGTATCCCCTTTCTGGAAGTTTCTACAGGGCACCTGGACGTTGGTTTAGACTATGGAGAGTAGATCAAGAGTATCTGTGATGATCCTTTGTGATTGCTCCGCCAGTTCTGTTAACGGGTTTCCGTTATTTGTGCCCTTCCTTTTCAGCTGGTTGCAGTGTTACCTGAGAATCTCCAGCCCGGGCCTGGAGACTTTTATGGGCTCCCCTGGGAGCCTGTATTGCTTAATACCTGTGTTGGAATCCTTATGCTTGCGATTTTCTTGTGGAGGAATGTTTTTCCAGTGAGTGAATTAACTTGTTCTTTGACTTCTGAATATATTGAGGATTCTATTATCATTGGCCTTTCAGTTATTAACATAAACAAATCAGTGGTTATAATTCAAGTTAGTTTTCTGAAATAATTTAATCTTGGTACTGTCAAAGACTTAAGAGCAAGCTAAGCATATCCACGTGTTAGTAGAGTTGGTGACTCGTACAGCCATCCTGAAAACCAGTTTAATAATTCTATATATCATAAGCCTTTAAAATGGGATACAAAACAGGATAAGAAATATAAATTGCTTTTATATGGTATGATAACATCAGTAAGTGATCTTAAAGAAATAAATTACATGTTAAGATTTTATACAAAGGTATTAGATGTAGTATTTAATAGAGTAATAACTTGGTGAAACCTAAATGATCTATGTTAGGGAATATCATGTTTCATCTTATTTATATCCACACAACAGAATATTAGGCTGCTGTATGTATTTCAAAGGCAGGGGGCAAAGAAGGTGTTCACGATTTAATGTGAAGTGGGAAAAGGGGAAACAGACCATGAGGTAGTGATGAACTGTGCTGTAGAAACATACAGGGCAAGAAATACAGTAAGATGGTAGAAACGTCCAGGCAAGATCAGGCAGAGTGGTGTGTGCATTCCTGCAGCCCTGGAGGAGAGGGAGGCTGAGACAGGAGAAGTGCAAGTTTGAGCCCAGCCTGGGCAACTTGGTCACTTACCAAGAGCCTGTCTCAAGAAAAATGGGAAGGCTGTGTGAAAGCCCTGTCCCAGGTACCACCAAAAAACAAACCCAAAACAGCACCGTATGAAAGATTCCTGTGAGGACTTCTGGAATCTCACTGAACAGCTTCTTGGATGAAAGCACGCCTGGAAGGGTTAGCAGAGTGTTTCGGGGTGAAAAGGTGCTGTTTCCCCTGCTCCTCTCCTTTGGTTCCCCTGCAGCTGCGACCCAGCAGGGCTCTCAGGCTCACCTGCAGCTTCACACCCTGCCCCTGGGCTCACTTCCTCCCACTCCCTGAGGTCACATGGCTCTGAGGGGACACTCCTGATCCTAGAGAGCTCAGTCGCCCTCCCCCCCACGCCCCTCAGCTGGCCACTGCGCTCTGCTGTCCTATACTGTTTATAGCACTCGGAAGGAGAAGACAGAGTCTGCGTTACAGAGAAGTGCAGTGACCCCTGCTGTGGTATTTAATTAGTTACAGTTTAGGATTTAGGACCCCAGAAGGCACCTGGAGGAAGAACTGGGTCTGTGCTCTTCCTGGAAGCCCTTAGCTGTCATTTCTCTGTGTTCCTCTGGTGTCTTCCCTTCTGCTTAGATTTATTACTGTTTTTGTGGTCTGGGGAAATCAGATGATGAGGTGTATTAGATTATTTCTTAATTGAGTCAATAGATCACTTGAAATAGGGTTTCTGAGGTATCTTCCAGTGGGTGAGAGAGGCGTATCTTAGTGTAAAGGTGATACTGGTAATCTCACTCGCCAGTCTTCCATATGGTTACCCATTTCTAGACTGCATGCTTGCTTTTGGGATTGTCAAGTAATTTTGAGTAAGTAAATCAATAATGTGTGTATTATAAAAACAAGCATTTCACTGTTGAAGCCAAATGCTCATCTCAGAAGCCTGGTGTTCACTTGGTCCTGGCGCATAAGCCTGTGTGTAGCTGTGAAGTAAGATATGCTCCTTACTGTTCCTCTGTATCAGAGGCTATTTATAATACATTTTTAATTGTATGGGTTTATTCTGAACTAAAGTTACTAAATTTTCACTTGCTTATGATCCTGACTTGTGTTAAGAACTATGCATTCCTTTTAATCAAATGTTTGACATCAAATTTCTCTCTTTCTCTTCTAAGTAAAGGAGACAATATACCAAGGTAAATCTCTTCCTGTGGGTGTTTGGAAGGACTTTTAGGCAGGCTAGGAGCGACAGTGACTTTGGTGTCTGATTTGACTCACTAACTGCTCCACATTTTACTGTTGCTACTAACCATGGTATAGTGGGGAGGGTGATGGTACCGGCTGAGCTAGGAGATGTGGGGGCAGGGGTGACTGCTTACTTGGAGCAGACAGAGCGTGGCTGGGCCACACAGGTGTGGAGAGAGGCCAGTGTGTCTGTGCTAGGGACACCTCGGCCCCTATAGATTTATCGGCACAGGAGCTCGAGAGACAGCAGTGTAGATCTGTAGCCTAAAGTTTCTTTTTCTCGTGGCAAATGACATTCATTTGAAGTGATCCAACTTAATGTCATGTGACACCCTGTTGTCCTAGCAGCCCACTGTTCAGATTGTCTTGGGGCTTGGTGATCTCTGGGCTGAGGCAGCTTCTTCACATGGCAACCCCAGGGACTCTTTGTTCTTGGGCCAGCCATGCCCTGGCCCTGCACGTGTGGTCGGTTTCCAGCTTCAATGGCTCCCAACATCTGAATAATTCGTACTTATGTCTGGGTCACTGGGGTGCAGTCACAGCAGGCAAGCGGGGAAAGCTGCTTTTCCACGCCTGAGAACTGGATGTGTATGCTGGAGCCTTTGCCTTTGTGTCGGCCTCTGTGCCAGAGAAGACACTCACTCAGCTTTCTGGAGATGACACACGGGTCCGTACTCACGGCCTCTGCTGTTCTGTGGTTCTCAGGCACTTGGCCAGGGTCACCTAGAGTGTGGGGATGGGGAGCCACAGTCCAGGCTGTGAGGGCAGAGGCTGGAGAGCAGCAGGGTCTGAGATGAGGAAAGTGGTCAGGGTGCCGCCCCAGCTGCAGAGGGTGCTCAGAGTGCGAGTCTGGACCCACGCTGGCCAGCTCCCACTAGACCATGTGGCATGCTGTCTTGGCAGGAGCTCACAAACTCTAAGGGTGCAGTTGTCATGAAAGTCAGTGTGTCAGTTCTGTTGGTGAATTGTTTTTCTTTACAGTGTTTCATGAGCATTAGTTTAGTTTTGTGGAAGTCAAGACCACAGTGTTAGAAAAGGCACAGGAAGACACAGCCACACTTGTTCTCTTTGTGGGTGGGGAAAATAAGAAGGCTCACATGCACCAGCTGATGGATGTCTCCCGGTGAGTCCCTTCACAGAGACCCCCGGGGGCCCTTGAGTCCTGACTGAGCCTTACTTTCAAGCCTGTGCCCCTCCCTCACAATTTTCAGACACATCCCGCAATATCCGTATTTCAGAAAGATCTCCAACTCCTGCAGTTGAAGCTGAGAGCCTCCCTGTCTGCCAGATGTGATCTGGAAGGTAGGTCCCTGACTGCATGGTGGTCAGGCTGAGTGCCGGCATGAATGAGGCAGGGATGCTGGGAGCCTGGTTCTGTGTCTTTGGCGGTGCCCTTGGTGACGTGTCTCACCTCCCAGACCAGATCGTGAAGCTAGGTGAGGACCTCGGCAGGCTGCAGGCAGACAAGGCCCGGATGAGGAGGAGTTTAGCATGCTGCAGCAGAAGGTGGAGGTCCTGAAGGAGCTGTCCCACCAGAAGGAGCTGGAGCTGCAGAAGTGAGTCCCAGACATTTTGCCCAGTGTCTCATGCTGGCCATTCCTGTCACTTCTGATTGCCTAGCAGCTTCGATGTGCAGTGATCATAGAGGAAACTTGGGGCCCAGGGTGCTGCTGGTTTCCTGTGATGGCGACCTGAGGCTGATCCTGCCTGTCCGTCATCACCATCATCCAGCTAGCAGTTGGGCCCAGCGTCCCTGCCTCTGTAGCCTCAGCTCCACTGCTTGTTTGTTGAAGCCTAGGGATTTGTGGAAGGCTCAGTTCAGCATCTTTGGCATTGTCCTCCATGTGTGGGTTGAGGGAGGGCAGCACTGGCCTCTGGGGCCCACATTTCGCTTTCTGGCTGGGGCCAAGGCTCCCGTCCACCCATTCAGCCTGTCTTGTGTGCTTATTATGGCCTAGGTCTAGAGGAACAGCTCTTCCCAGACAGTATGTGGGGGGGGGGGGATGTAGACTCCGCCTATTGCTTTCCCAGCAGCTCTGCTGGACAATCCTGGCTTCCCTCGGGGTACACTCATCTCCCACACAGGCAGCTAGAGCCTGGCGCATGCTGTGCTCTTAGCTTGTTCTGTTTGCCGATTAGACAATTACAAGGAGAGGTGAGAGAATATAAGAACACAAGCAAATGGCCCAGAGCCTGGAGCTTGACTGCCCTCCTGAAACCCTGTGCCTGCTGCCGGGTGGGGAAGTGGCCTGTGGGCCGAGTTCAGCCCTGGCAGCTGCCTTTCTCCTAGGATGTTGAGTCAGGCGGAATGTGCACAGCAGCAGCGAGAGCAGGCGCTGTGGGCTGTGGATGAGAAGGTGGTGCCGGCCACAGAGGAGGTGAAAATCTACAAGTAAGTGTGGCGTCCGAGACAGGAACTGGGCTGAGTTGCTTTGTTACATAGAAGAGAGGGGCACAGAAGCACATGAGAGGCCCAAGAATGGAATGTATTTAACTCACACGGGGAGGGCTTTTACATTAACAGACCAAGGCTTGTTAAAAGCGAAGCTCCTTTGCAGATGTGTCCTGTGCCCATTTTTAGGAAATCAGCCTGCTTCTGTCACACGTCTACACCCACCAGAGTCTCAGTGCTCCGACAGACCGGGGGCAGCATTTTGACTCATTTCTTGTGGCTATAATTTGAGGGGGAAACCTTTTTTTTTTTTATCAGTACCGGGGATCAAACTTAGGACTGCCTGCTTGCAAGGCAGGTGCTTATGCCTCTGAGCTAAATCCCCAGCCCCTGAGGGAAAAATCTTTATGGGGAAGGTAGCCTTAGCCAGATTATTTTGAGAATATAATTCAAGGACAGTTAAGGAAATTGACAAGTTGTCAACTCATAATCTCTAGGCATTCAATGAAAAATCAGGAAACTGGGGTTCACACTGCACTCATCACGTTATGAAATGTTTCTGTATGATGAAGTCTTTAAAGGTCAGACAATTGTCAGATTGTTTCAGAATTTATTTGATTCTAACTGCTAAGTATTATTTTTAGGCGGCGAATCGGTGAAGTGGAAGCAGAATTAGAGAAAATGGAGCGCTCATTTAAAAACCAGGCAAGGAATAGAGTGCGCTGTGGTGACAGCATCCGTTAATCCCCCACACAGGAGTCATGGAGGGCTGCAGCCCAGGTGACTAGTCCCTCAACCTGTGTCTTGCCGTGTTCTCTTGCAGCTTGCTACTGAGAAGAAAAAAGCCCATGAGAACTGGGTAAGAGCCGCCTCGCCTCGCCTCGCCTCGCATCGCCCTCTCCAGCTTCATTCAGCCACTGTGCTGAGCGGGCCTGTCTGTCTCCACAGCTCAAAGCCCGACATGCAGAGCGCCTGGTGGCAGATGAGAAGCGGCAGGCCGCCAACCTGCGGCAGAGGTTAGCAGCGTGTGGCGCGATGCGATGCGTGGCGCCCACGTTTTAGACCACTCAGGGTGGCTATGGTCACCCCCAGCCCTACTTTGTCTGTGTGCAGGCTGGTGGAAATTACCCAGAAGCTGGATATGCTTAAAGAGGAGCCTGGGATCATCAATCCGATGCCGGACTGTCATGGAGTGCAGGACGCGCCCCACAGAGGTGGGCACTCTGTCCTTCTGAGTGGGACTCGGGGAACTTAGCCACTGCAGAGAACGGCTAACCAGCGCGTGTGTTGTCTCCTCAGGTCCCCTGAGCCAGAAGGGCTCCTTGGGCCTGGCCCCTGTGAGTGGTGGTGAGTGCTCCCTGCCCCCAGGCGCAGAGCCTCCTGGATGGCTGCCCTCTGGGAGCCTGAACTTTGCATGCTGCAACATTCCCAGAGCTGACTTTGGTGAGCCTCTCCGGGGCCTCGAGTCCTGGACTCTGGGACACCATGCTGCCTTGCCCCGGGCATGGTTCCCTGAGCTCTGGTACAGAGCCCGGGCACTCCCGGCTTGGGTTTCCACTTAGCCCTGGGCCCTGTGCAGGCCCACCCGAACTGCAGTGCAGGAGCAGGGTCCTGGGAACAGTCGCCCACCCCGTCACTCCCAAACCTCTCTGGCTGTGGCATGGCAGAGGCTGCAGTGTCGCCCTCTCCCTCTCTGCACAGTGTTCAATGAGTGGGCGCACTTTCGTCACCACTCACCTCCTGGCCACCCGGAACGGCTCCTGAGCTAGGCAGGTCTGCATGTTACTGGTTCTGTGTGCTGCTCCCAAAGCACGTGGCCGCTGTGTGCGGGCTCAGTCTTCCAAGGCCCTGTTTTCCTCCTCCACAGCCTGAGACCTAAAGCAGCCTCCGCCTCTGGCTTGGGCTGCCACAGTGCAGCTTCCCAGGTCCCCAGGTCCGAGAAGTGTTGACCAGGTGGAGCCCGCACAGGCTCAGAGGCCTCCTTCGACCCCCCCACCCCCACTTGACGCCTGCTCAGTGAGCCTGGTACCTCTGGCTCCACGCAAGGGCTCCCTGGCCTCCTGCCTCCCACGGGCCTTGCAGCTGCCTGTCAGAGGCATCCATGCCTCTGCTCCCTCCAGGGACAGTGCTCGGGGCTCTGCAGTGTTCCCCAGGGCACTTCCGAGGGCGTGCCCATGGCCTATTCCGGTCCTCGTCCTCATCCTCATCCTCGTCCCCATCCCAGTCCTCAACCTGGGAAAGTCCTCTGAGTGCCTTCTCTGCCCCAGATCCCGGCCCTGGCCCCATGGCCAACAGCAGCTCCCATGGCTCCTCCCCAGCGAAGGACATGGACAACGCCAAGGTGAGCCTGGAGCCCGTGCCTGGGCCCGAGCTGCTCCATGTGCCTTTGGTTTCCACTCTGTTCTCCAGCTGGCCTGACGTGACGACCCCGCTGACTAGGTCACCATCTGACTGGGCCTTCACTAAGGCTCAGGCCGAGTTCTGAGTGCTGGAGCACAGCACACCTCACGCCCCTGCCTTGAGAGTTTGGTCAAGCTGGACTTGACCTCACAGTACCCAGAGCCCACCTGCAGTTCCCTAGCCGTCTTCCCGCCTCAGCCTCCCGAGTGCGGGATGACCGGTGTGCATTGCCACACTCGCGTGCGCTTGATTTTTGGGAGCAGCTGTTGGGGTCCTCAGGGTCTGTGCTAGGCAGACCCCTTGCAATGATCGGGATGAGGTGGGCGTGGGCTCTTGTGGGAGTGGGAAGCCGGTTCCAGGGCCCCTTGAATCCTACCCCGGGCGGCCCAGGCTGCTGTGCCTCCTGGGTCCTGAGGCTGCTGCCTTGGCAGCCTTCACACCGCATGGGGCTGCCTGCAATGGTCAGAGCTCCATGGACTGCCTTCCAAGCAGCCCAAGCCCAGGCACCTCCGCCAGCCCCTCCCTGTGCAGTGTCAACTGGCCTAGGCAGCTTCCTGTTCTCCCCAGCTACCCCGGGACCCTGGGAGCCCTTGTGTCGCCCCTGTCGTGCCCAGGGCCACGCTCATGCTGGCAAGAGTGCAGCGAGCTGGTGCAGCGCCCCGCTGGCACCTCTGGAGCTCCTCTCCGCATGCAAGTGGGGACAGTGTGGTGACCATGCTCGCTGCCTGGCATGCTGCTCAAGAGGGGCCAGCAGGGTCCGGGGATCCCTTGACTCCTCTCGGGACGGGCACCCGGTGTCACTGCCCAGGTCGAAACTGGGCCTGCTTTTGTTCACAGGTGAGCATGGCCGTGAAGAGGCCCCCAGCCCATCCAGAGCCCCGGTTCCTGGGAGGCCCCATGCCACCCCACGTGGGCTATGGGTGGCCGCCGCCACCACTGCTCTGCAGGCCCTTCAGGCCTCCGCCGATGTCTCCTAGGCAACCACAAATATTCGGTACGGTAGGACACTTGGGTCAGCACCACCGCCTACCCTGTGCTCTCTCCTCTCCTGTCCTGATCGGAAGCTGCAGCCCGCCTGACTCGAAGCACAAGGCCCAGCACTCTGAGCCCAGTGCAGCCTCCACAGCTGCTTGGACCAGAAGGGCCTTTTAGGCAGAGCGAAAGCCAGTCTCAGCGGGGTGGTCACCTGGGACGCCACAGGCCGCCGGCAGTGGGAGAAGGGAGGGTCAGGCTGTGGTTGAGCCTACTGAGCCTCAGTTTTCCTTATCTGTGAAGTCCAGTGCATCACTCCACTTCCTGGCACAGGGGAAGGGAAACGCTTTCAGCAGACCTGGGCTGTCCTCAGGACGTGTCCGCATGTCCCTCTTGCTTTCCAGTCGCACGCATGGGCCCACCACTGGGCTTAAGAGACTATGCGCCCGGCGTGCTGCCCGGACGCCGCGACCTGCCTCTACATCCCAGCGAGTTCTTGCCGGGACCTGTGCCATTCAGGCCTCCAGGCCTGCTCGGCGCCCGAGCGCATTTCATTTCGAATCCGCGAATGCCACCACCACCCGCTGGACTCCAAGACTACCTACCACCGCCTGCCGGGCCCCAGGCCTACCCACCACCATGTGCCGGGCCTCAGGACTATGCACCGCCGCCTGCCAGGTCCCTGGAGTACCAACTGCCACGAGTTGGGCCCCAGGACAACCCACAACCCCGTGCCGGACCCCAAGAATACCCACCACTACGTGCCAGGCCCCAGGACTACCCACCACCACATGCCTGGCCCCAGGACTACCGAGCAACACGTGCTGGGCCCCAGGACTACCGACCACCACGTGCCAGGCCCCAGGACTACCCATCACCACCAGCTGGGCTGCAGGAATGCCAACCACCATGTGCCGGGCCCCAGGACTACCTGCCACCTCCTACCAGGCCCCAACATTAACCACCGCCACCTGCCGGGCCCCAGGACTACCCACCACCACCTGCTGGGCCCCAAACTACCCACCGACACCTGCAGGGCCCCAGGACTGCCTACTGCCACCTGCTGGGCCCCAGGTCGACCCACCAGCACCTGCCGGGCCCAAGGGCTACCCACCAGCACCTGTCGGGCCCAAGGGCTACCCATGACCATCTGCCGGGCCCAAGACAATCCACCGCCACCTGCCAGGGCCGAAAACTAGCCACCCCCGCCTGCCAGGCCCTAGGACTAGCCACAGCCACCTGCCAAGCCCAACTGTCCAAAACTGCCTGCCCAGCCCCAGGACTACCCACCACCGCAAGCCGGGCCCCAGGAATACCCACCACCATCTGCCAGGCTCCAGGACTACCCACTGCTGCATGCTGGGCCCCAGCACTAGTCCTGGGGCCAGGCAGGCGGTTGTGGACAATCCTGGGGCCTGGCAGGTGCCTGTGGCTAGTCCTGGGACCCTGCAGGTGGCGGCGGCAGGCGGCAGTGGCTAGTCTTGGGGCCTGGCAGGCGACAGTTGGTAGTCCTTTGGTCCCGCAGGTGACAGTGGCTAGTCCTGGGCCCCGGCAGGTGGTGGTGGGGAGTCCTGGTGCCCGGCAGGCGGCAGTGGGCGGTTCTGCAGCCTGGCAGGGGGCTGTGGCTAGTCCTAGGGCCTGGCAGGGGGTGGTGGTTAGTCTTCGGCCCTGCAGGTGGCGGTGGGTTGTCTTATGAACTGGCAGGCGGTGGTGTGTTGTCCTGGGGCCTGGCAGTTGGCAGCGGGTAGTTCTGGGGTCCAGCATGGGGCAGTGGGTAGGCCTGGAGCCAGGCAGAAGGCAGTGGGTAGTCCTGGAGCCCGGCAGATGGCAGTGGGTATTCCTGGGGCCCGGCATGCAGTGGTGGGTAGTCCTGGGGCCGGGCAGGCAGTTTTGGACAGTTGGGGCCCGGCAGGTGGCTGTGGCTAGTCCTAGGGCCTGGCAGGCGGTGGTGGCTAGTCTTTGGCCCCAGCAGGTGGCGGTGGGTTGTCATGGGCCCCGGCAGATGGTCGTGGGTAGCCCTTGGGCCTGGCAGGTGGTGGTGGGTCGTCCTGGGGTCCAGCAGGTGGCAGTGGGCAGTCCTGGGGCCCTGCAGGTGTCGGTGGGTAGTTTGGGGCCCAGCAGGCAGTGGTGGGTAGTCCTGGGGCCCGGCAGGTGGCGGTGGTTAATGTTGGGGCCTGGTAGGAGGAGGCAGGTGGTCCTGGAGCCCGGCACATGGTGGTTAGCATTCTTGCGGCCCAGCTGGTGGTGATGGGTATTCCTGGGGCCCGGCACGTGGTGGTCGGTAGTCCTGGGGCCAGGAATGTGGTGGTGGGTAGTCCTGGGGCCCGGCAGGTGGCGGTGGTTAATGTTGGGGCCTGGTAGGAGGAGGCAGGTAGTCCTGGAGCCCGGCACATGGTGGTTGGCATTCCTGCGCCCAGCTGGTGGTGATGGGTAGTCCTGGGGCCCGGCACGTGGTGGTGGGTAGTCCTGGGGCCAGGAATGTGGTGGTGGGTAGTCCTGGGGCCCGGCACGTGTTAGTGGGTAGTCCTGGGCCTGGCACGTAGTGGTGGGTATTCTAGGGGCCCAGTATGGGGTTGTGGGTTGTCCTGGGGCCCAACTCGTGGCATTTGTACTCCTGGGACCTGGCAGGCGGTGGTGCATAGTCCTGAGGTCCGGCACGTGGTGGTGGGTAGGCCTGGCACCCGACAGGTGGAGGTGGGTAGTCCTGGGGCCTGGCAGGCGGCGGTGGGTATTCCTGGCACCCGGCAGGCAGCGGTGGGTTGTCCTCGGGCCCGGCAGGCATAGGTGGGTTGTTCTGGGGCCCGGCAGGCAGTGGTAGGTAGTCTTGGAGTCCAGTGGGTGGTGGTGGCATTCGCGGATCCGAAATGAAATGCGCTCGGGCGCCGAGCGGGCCTGGAGGCCTGAATGGCACAGGTCCCGGCAAGAACTCGCTGGGATGTAGAGGCAGGTCGCGGCGTCCGGCAGCATGCCGGGCGCATAGTCTCTTAAGCCCAGTGGTGGGCCCATGCGTGCGACTGGAAAGCAAGAGGGACATGCGGACACGTCCTGAGGAGCAGCCCAGGTCTGCTGAAAGCGTTTCCCTTCCCCTGTGCCAGGAAGTCGAGTGATGCACTGGACATCACAGATAAGGAAAACTGAGGCTCAGTAGGCTCAACCACAGCCTGACCCTCCCTTCTCCCACTGCCGGCGGCCTGTGGCGTCCCAGGTGACCACCTCGCTGAGACTGGCTTTCGCTCTGCCTAAAAGGCCCTTCTGGTCCAAGCAGCTGTGGAGGCTGCACTGGGCTCAGAGTGCTGGGCCTTGTGCTTCGAGTCAGGCGGGCTGCAGCTGCCAATCAGGACAGGTGAGGAGAGAGGACAGGGTAGGCGAGAGGACAGGGTAGGCGGTGGTGCTGACCCAAGTGTCCTACCGTACCGAATATTGGTGGTTGCCTAGGAGACATCGGCGGAGGCCCGAAGGGCCTGCAGAGCAGTGGTGGCGGAGGCGACCCATAGCCCACGTGGGGCAGCATGGGGCCTCCCAGGAACCGGGGCCCTGGATGGGCTGGGGGCCCCTTCACGGCCATGCTCACCTGCGAACAGAAGCAGGCCCAGTTTCAAACTCGGCAGTGACACCGGGTGCCCGTCCCGAGAGGAGTCAAGGGGTCCCCAGAACCTGCCGGGCCCTCGTGAGCAGCATGCCACGCAGCGAGCATGGTCACCACGCTGACTGCACTCGCGTTTGGAGATGAGCTCCAGAGGTGCCAGTAGCGTGCTTCGCCAGCTCGCTGCACTCTTGCCAGGATGAGTGTGGCCCTGGGCCCTACAGGGGCGACACAAGGGCTCCCAGGGTCCCGGAGTAGCTGGGGAGAACAGGAAGCTGCCTCGGCCAGTTGACACTGCACAGGGAGGGGCTGGCGGAGGCACCTGTGCCTGGGATGCTTGGAAGGCAGTCCATGGAGCTCTGACCATTGCAGGCAGCCCCATGTGGTGCGAAGTCTGCCAAGGCAGCAGCCTCAGGACCCAGGAGGCACAGCAGCCTGGGCCGCCCGGGGTCGGATTCAGGGGGCCCTGGAACCGGCTTCCCACTCCCACAAGAGCCCACGCCCACCTCATCCCCATCATTGCAAGGGGTCTGCCTAGCACAGACCCTGAGGACCCCAACAGCTGCTCCCAAAAATCAAGCGCACGCGAGTGTGGCAATGCACACCGGTCATCCCGCACTCGGGAGGCTGAGGCGGGAGGACTGCTAGGGAACTGCAGGTGGGCTCTGGGTACTGTGAGGTCAAGTCCAGCTTGAGCTGCATAAGGAAACCCTGACTCAAAATAAGTACCAAACCAAACACTCAAGTCAGGGACATGAGGTGTGCTTTGCTCCAGCACTCAGCACGTGGCCCCAGTCTTAGTGAAGGCCCCAGTCAGATGGTGACCTAGTCTGTGGCGTCCCCACGCCCAGGCCAGCTGGAGAACAGAGGGTAAACCTAGGGCCCATGGAGCAGCAGGGGCCAAGGCACAGGCTCTAGGCTCACCTTGGCATTGTCCATGTCCTTCTCTGGGGAGGAGCCATGGGAGCTGCTGTTGGCCACAGGGCCAGGGCCTGGATCTGGGGGCAGAGAAGGCACTCAGAGGACTTTCCCAGGACGAGGACGAGGATGAGGACAAGGACCGGAAGAAGCCACGGGCACGCCCTGGGAAGTGCCCTCAGGAACACTGCAGAGCCCCGAGGACTGTCCTGGAGGGAGCAGAGGCATGGCTGCCTCTGACAGGCAGCTGCAAGGCCCGTGGGAGGCAGGAGGCCAGGGAGCCCTCAAGTGGAGCCAGAGGTACCAGGCTCACTGAGCAGGCGTCAAGTGGGGGTGGGGAGGTCGAAGGAGGCCTCCGCCTGCGCGGGATCCACCTGCTCAGCACTTCTCGGAAATGGGGAGCTGGGAAAGCTGCGCTGTGGCAGAACAAGCTAAGAGCACAGCATGCGCCAGGCTCTAGCTGCCTGTGTGGGAGATGAGTGTACCCCGAGGGAAGCCAGGATTGTCCAGCAGAGCTGCTGGGAAAGCAATAGGCGGAGTCTACCCACCCCTTCCCCCATACTGTCAGGGAAGAGCTGTTCCTCTAGACCTAGGCCATGATAAGCACACAAGATAGGCCGAATGGGTGGACGGGAGCCTTGGCCCCAGCCAGAAAGCGAAATGTGGGCCCAGAGGCCAGTGCTGCCCTCCCTCAACCCACACATGGAGGACAATGCCAAAGATGCTGAACTGAGCCCTAGACAAATCCCTAGGCTTCAAGAAACAAGTAGTGGAGCTGAGGCTACAGAGGCAGGGACGCAGGGCCAAACTGCTAGCTGGATGAAGGTGATGGCGGACAGGCAGGAGCAGCCTCAGGTCGCCATCACAGGAAACCAGCAGCACCCTGGGCCCCAAGTTTCCTCTATGATCACTGCACATCGAAGCTGCTAGGCAATCAGAAGTGACAGGAATGGCCAGCATGAGACACTGGGCAAAATGTCTGGGACTCACTTCTGCAGCTCCAGCTCCTTCTGGTGGGACAGCTCCTTCAGGACCTCCACCTTCTGCTGCAGCATGCTAAACTCCTCCTCATCCGGGCCTTGTCTGCCTGCAGCCTGCCGAGGTCCTCACCTAGCTTCACGATCTGGTCTGGGAGGTGAGACAAGTCACCAAGGACACCGCCAAAGACACAGAACCAGGCTCCCAGCATCCCTGCCTCATTCATGCCGGCACTCAGCCTGACCACCATGCAGTCAGGGACCTACCTTCCAGATCACATCTGGCAGACAGGGAGGCTCTCAGCTTCAACTGCAGGAGTTGGAGATCTTTCTGAAATACAGATATTGCGGGATGTGTCTGAAAATTGTGAGGGAGGGGCACAGGCTTGAAAGTAAGGCTCAGTCAGGACTCAAGGGCCCCGGGGGTCTCTGTGAAGGGACTCACCCGGGAGACATCCATCAGCTGGTGCATGTGAGCCTTCTTATTTTCCCCACCCACAAAGAGAACAAGTGTGGCTGTGTCTTCCTGTGCCTTTTCTAACACTGTGGTCTTGACTTCCACAAAACTAAACTAATGCTCATGAAACACTGTAAAGAAAAACAATTCACCAACAGAACTGACACACTGACTTTCATGACAACTGCACCCTTAGAGTTTGTGAGCTCCTGCCAAGACAGCATGCCACATGGTCTAGTGGGAGCTGGCCGGCGTGGGTCCAGACTCGCACTCTGAGCACCCTCTGCAGCTGGGGCGGCACCCTGACCACTTTCCTCATCTCAGACCCTGCTGCTCTCCAGCCTTTGCCCTCACAGCCTGGACTGTGGCTCCCCATCCCCACACTCTAGGTGACCCTGGCCAAGTGCCTGAGAACCACAGAACAGCAGAGGCTGTGAGTACGGACCCATGTGTCATCTCCAGAAAGCTGAGTGAGTGTCTTCTCTGGCACAGAGGCCGACACAAAGACAAAGGCTCCAGCGTACACATGTACACATCCAGTTCTCAGGGGTGGAAAAGCAGCTTTCCCTGCTTGCCTGCTGCTACTGCACCCCAGTGACCCAGACATAAGTACGAATTATTCAGATGTTGGGAGCCATTGAAGCTGGAAACCGACCACACGTGCAGGGCCAGGGCATGGCTGGCCCAAGAACAAAGAGTCCCTGGGGTTGCCATATGAAGAAGCTGCCTCAGCCCAGAGATCACCAAGCCCCAAGACAATCTGAACAGTGGGCTGCTAGGACAACAGTGTGTCACATGACATTAAGTTGCTAAAACTTATAAACGCCCCTGCAGTGAGGGGCCAGTTCCTTTCTTCCCATGAGGAGGGTAAGGGCTCCACCTGACCCCAGATTGGTCTGTCTATTTTCTCATCCTCTTGTGGTCCTTCACACTAAGAACCTAAAGAGCTTCATGGGTCAGTCGGGGCAAGAAGAAACTCAGCTGAGAAGCAGTATCCATGTATGGAATTAAAGACAAAAATGCTTAGGAGACTGAGGTAGAAATTTTGCTGTGGGTTTGAGGCCAGTGTGGGCTACACAGTGAGATCAAGGCCAGCCACTACATAGAGACCTTGTCTAAAATAACAATAAAGAGAAGAAGACAAAAAAGGGCCCTTGAAGGGCTGGGGATTTAGCTCAGTGGCACAAGCACCTGCCTGGTGAGTGCATGGTCATGAGTTAGATCCCTGGTTAAAAAAAAAAAAAGGGCCCTTGGGCTAGGGCCGGTCTTACCTCCCACTTCTCCTTTGGCTAATTCACCTGGCTCACATCTGTGTGGACCTGGACCTTCAGATTCCAATCCCCTCTCCTCCAACCGGTTCAGCTGCATGATGCAGTTGTTCAGAGCCTAGCAGAGAAGGGAGCAGCAGTTAAGAGCCTCTCCATCCTCACAGTGGGTTGTTTTCCAAGTGTTCATGATCAGGCTGGGCCGGCTGGGGTAACTTACACCAATGCTATCATCCTTATCATGGAGAGTGGCTTCCAGATCCCTCTGAGACTTTTCCAACGACCTGATTCGCTGGCTGAGTTTAGCGTTCAGCTTCTTCTGGTCTTCAACTTCCTGCTCTAGCTGAAAGTCACATGGAAGGGTCCCTGCGGACTGGGGATTCCACAGAGGCACAGGACCATGCAAGTGGGATGGGGAAGCAGGACTCCTGTCCCTCCTTGTCCCATCGCAGAGGCTAAGACTTGGTTCAGGACTGCAGAGTGTGACTTCCACCCTGAGCTGTCAACGAAGCTGACCCCATCCATCAAGTCCTTCTGAAAAATGCCTGCTGACTCAAATGCCTGACTTCCAGGTGGCACCCGTGGGCATGTATTGCTGGGGCTTAACATGTTCCCACAGGCATGAACCGCTGCAGGGCATGCAGGACTGTCCTTACCACCTAATGGGACTATCCTGTGTATCCCCCTAGCAGGAACATAACCCATTCACATGGGAACTGCCGGCAGCTAGCTGTGGGATTTCTGGCCTCAGTGTGTGTGTGTTGATCACAGATCCCTGATCTAACCTTCCTATGGCCAATGTGAGGCAGTAACTGTTAGAGGAGGCTTAGCAAAGCCTTCAATCTGAGGTTTAAAAAGCCAACCCCTGGCCTTGCTGAGGCCAAAGGAATGACTAGTATCTAACAAGACAAGGGCCAAGAACTGCCATCAATTTACAGAATTGAAAATCCACGAGAAACACAAAAGGAGCCTGTGCCCTCAGTAATGTGCAAGCTGGGGAGGACAGACTCGATGCTCCCCAGCTTGCTGCAGGGGACTGCAAAAGCAGCTCCTCATGAGAAAAGATGACAGAGCTAAAGTCGCTGGGTTTTGCACCCACCCTGACCAGACATTTACAAAATCTGCACTTTCTTCTTCTTCTTCAGCCTTGTGTTTTCTTCCTGAACCTGGTGGCACTCAGACTTCACCTTCTCCTCACTCAACTTGCCTTCATTCAGGGCGACCTGAACCTAACGCACAACAGGACTGTTCACGAGCCATGCCAGGGAGGGGCCCCCAGCCCTGCCCCTCAATCATGCACGGCCTCTGCCTTCCATGGCTCTCAGCACTCATCAGGTCACCACTGCTCCATGCAGCTGAGTCTCGACACTGACACCGGCAGAGAGTGTGGGCAGCCTTACCTTGGAAAATTCTGAGGCATTCATTGAAATAACCTCCTTTAGCTTCTCCACAGATTTCTCATTTTCCAGGACCTGCCACGGAAGCAAGGAACACACAGAACGCATTAGGACTGTGGGAGAAACACTGATACATATGCTAAAGAACAAAAACATTACTACAAGGTACCCCAAACTATCCACTATGTTTTAGGTAAAATCGGGATTAAATGTGGTCTGGGGAAAAAATCTGCTTAAAGAGCTGAGAGAAAAACTGAAGTCAAGAGTTTCATGGCACCCTCAAGCTTTGGGGTTATGTTACTACATAGAGTACAAAGAAATGTCCAAGCACACCATGGAAAATGAACAGCTTTTTCTGGTGTCAGGAAAACAAGCCCCAAAAGGTCTGGAGATTTAGCTCAGCAGCATTAAATGCCTGCCCGCCAAGCACTGAGTCATGAGTTCGATCCCTGGCACCAAAAAAAAAAGCTCCAAGATCACTTTAAACATGTTCTTGTCTGAATTAAAAATGGTAAGAATGCTGGGTATGGTGGAGGACGCCTGTAATCCCAGCACTCAGGAAGCTGAGGCAGGAGAGTTTAAGGCCAGCCTAGGCTACAAGGTGAGTTCACAGCCAGCCTGAACTGCATAACAGAACCCAGTCTCAAAAAGACAAAACCAAAATAAAACAATAGAAAAAAAAGTGTTTCTGGGGGAATAGAAAAATCTCATGTGCCAAATTTCTCAATATTTATGACAATACTGGCTCAAGGGGTGACCCTAACCCACCGTTCTTTTAACTGCAGTTTGTATGTCATAACTTCCTGCCAAACAGCATGCTGCACAAAGGACTGAAAATGGGCAATTCACCAGGTGTGTGCTGAGCAAAGGACCAGGCCACACAGGAGGTGGGAAGCATGAGAACTCTCCTCACTACATTTCCGATTAGGGGATTTGCAGACTATTCGAAAGGCACAGAGTTCACTGTGAAATAAAACCAGTTTACACAGACTACTCAACTGGACCCATTTTTTAGTGACTGTGTGTTCTGGAGGACACAACTATGAAATTATCCAAGATTCAGGATCAAAACACTTCCCGTGCCTATAAAAACATTCTACTGAATCAGTACTAAAAATCCCACAAAATGGGTACAGGCATGTTCAGTTCTGTTATTCCTAGTCTCATGGAGTTAACAGCATTGATCTATGTAAGAAACACATTCAGAACTAAGTAACAGAAGTCACTGTGCTAGTAAAACCTTGTTCCAAAGAAGCAAGCAGAGCGTTCCCTTTACACAGGATGGAGCATAAGATCTGGAGGGCTCAGAGGAAATGATGAAGCGAGAACACAGGCCTTCAAAATACCGTAATAATTGAGCTACACCACAGACACGCTAAAGGAAGGCCCGTGAGAGGTTCTACCTTCTGTTCATAACTTGACAATTTTTCTGCTAGTTGTGCATTGTCCTTTGTGGTAGTCTTCACCTTTTCAGCAATCTGCTGTTCGGTGACTAAAAAGAGGAAATAGCCAGGTTATTAGGAGCATTAAATGGAACTGAGCTGCACAGTGTCTCAGCAGCAAGGACACCTGTGAGGCTCTGTGAGAGACAGGGCTTAGCACAGCTACCTGCCTTTCCAGAGAGACCCGAAGCTAACAGCAGCAGTGCACAGGACACTGTTAAACTTTAAGAAAACTATAGTAATACTTGTTTTGAGGAGATATCAATTACTGCAAAGGCAGGAGATACAGTAAAATGTTACACAGTTGGAGAGGCTCCTTTCACAAAAGGTACTTGTTCTCTGAAAACGGATCACTTCAAATGAATGTCATTTGCTATGAGAAAAAGAAAGTTTAGGCTACAGATCTACACTGCTGTCTCTCGAGCTCCTGTCCTGATAAACCTATAAGGGGCCGAGGTGTCCCTAGCACAGACACACTGTCCTCTCTCCACACCTGTGTGACCCAGCCACGCTCTGTCTGCTCCAAGTAAGCAGTCACCCCTGCCCCCACATCTCCTAGCTCAGCCGGTACCATCACCCTCCCCACTATACCATGGTTAGTAGCAATAGTAAAATGTGGAGCAGTTAGTGAGTCAAATCAGACACCAAAGTCACTGTCGCTCCTAGCCTGCCTAAAAGTCCTTCCAAACACCAACAGGAAGAGATTTACCTTGGTATATTCTCTCCTTTACCTAGAAGAAAAAGAGAGAAATTTGATGTCAAACATTTGATTTAAAGCAATGCATAGTTCCTAACACAAGTCAGAATCATAAGCAAGTGAAAATTTAGTAACTTTAGTTCAGAATAAACCCATACAATTAAAAATGTATTATAAGTAGCCTCTGATACAGAGGAAGAGTAAGGAGCGTGTCTTACTTCACAGCTACACACAGGCTTATGCGCCAGGACCAAGTGAACACCAGGCTTCTGAGATGAGCATTTGGCTTCAACAGTGAAATGCTTGTTTTTATAATACACACATTATTGATTTACTTACTCAAAATTACTTGACAATCCCAAAAGCAAGCATGCAGTCTAGAAATGGGTAACCATATGGAAGACTGGCGAGTGAGATTACCAGTATCACCTTTACACTAAGATACGCCTCTCTCACCCACTGGAAGATACCTCAGAAACCCTATTTCAAGTGATCTATTGACTCAATTAAGAAATAATCTAATACACCTCATCATCTGATTTCCCCAGACCACAAAAACAGTAATAAATCTAAGCAGAAGGGAAGACACCAGAAGAACACAGAGAAATGACAGCTAAGGGCTTCCAGGAAGAGCACAGACCCAGTTCTACCTCCAGGTGCCTTCTGGGGTCCTAAATCCTAAACTGTAACTAATTAAATACCACAGCAGCGATCACTGCACTTCTCTGTAACGCAGACTGTCTTCTCCTTCCGAGTGCTATAAACAGTATAGGACAGCAGAGCGCAGTGGCCAGCTGAGGGGCGTGGGGGGGAGGGACTGTCCTCTCCAGGATCAGGAGTGGCGCCTCAGAGCCATGTGACCTCAGGGAGTGGGAGGAAGTGAGCCCAGGGGCAGGGTGTGAAGCTGCAGGTGAGCCTGAGAGCCCTGCTGGGTCGCAGCTGCAGGGGAACCAAAGGAGAGGAGCAGGGGAAACAGCACCTTTTCACCCCCAAACACTCTGCTTACCCTTCCAGGCGTGCTTTCATCCAAGAAGCTGTTCAGTGAGATTCCAGAAGTCCTCACAGGAATCTTTCATAGGGTGGTGTTTTGGGTTTGTTTTTTGGTGGTACCTGGGACAGGGCTTTCACACAGCCTTCCCATTTTTCTTGAGACAGGCTCTTGGTAAGTGACCAAGTTGCCCAGGCTGGGCTCAAACTTGCACTTCTCCTGTCTCAGCCTCCCTCTCCTCCAGGGCTGCAGGAATGCACACACCACTCTGCCTGATCTTGCCTGGACGTTTCTACCATCTTACTGTATTTCTTGCCCTGTATGTTTCTACAGCACAGTTCATCAGTACCTCACGGTCTGTTTCCCCTTTTCCCACTTCACATTAAATCGTGAACACCTTCTTTGCCCCCTGCCTTTGAAATACATACAGCAGCCTAATATTCTGTTGTGTGGATATAAATAAGATGAAACATGATATTCCCTAACATAGATCATTTAGGTTTCACCAAGTTATTACTCTATTAAATACTACATCTAATACCTTTGTATAAAATCTTAACATGTAATTTATTTCTTTAAGATCACTTACTGATGTTATCATACCATATAAAAGCAATTTATATTTCTTATCCTGTTTTGTATCCCATTTTAAAGGCTTATGATATATAGAATTATTAAACTGCTTTTCAGGATGGCTGTACGAGTCACCAACTCTACTAACAAGTGGATATGCTTAGCTTGCTCTTAAGTCTTTGACAGTACCAAGATTAAATTATTTCAGAAAACTAACTTGAATTATAACCACTGATTTGTTTATGTTAATAACTGAAAGGCCAATGATAATAGAATCCTCAATATATTCAGAAGTCAAAGAACAAGTTAATTCACTCACTGGAAAAACATTCCTCCACAAGAAAATCGCAAGCATAAGGATTCGAACACAGGTAGTGAGCAATAAAGGCTCCCAGGGGAGCCCATAAAGTCTCCAGGCCCGGGCTGGAGATTCTCAGGTAACACTGCAACCAGCTGAAAAGGAAGGGCACAAATAACGGAAACCCGTTAACAGAACTGGCGGAGCAATCACGAAGGATCATCACAGATACTCTGGATCTACTCTCCATAGTCTAAACCAACTTCCAGGTGCCCTGTAGAAACTTCCGGAAAGGGGATACAGTCAGGCTCCTGTTCTTGTCCCATATGTGGAGTCTCTGAACTTAGGGAGTGAGCTGAGCCTATTTCCCAGTTGGCCAACAGCCATTCTTCATCGCAGTGTCTCACGCATGGCCCAGATCAGGCTTAAGTGAGCTGTTTTCTATTACTGCACACGCGTGCACGCACACGCACACACACACACACACACACACACACACAAACACACAGAAACACACACCCCACATTGTAAATACATGATAGAAGCCATCGGTTTGTGGGTCTGCAAGCAAAAGCACTATGACAATGATCGCCACAAATCAGGCATCACTCCTCCAGGAGGCTGCATCTCAATTCGGTGCACCCTCAGGAAACAATCCTTGCAAGGAAACAGGTGGGGCATGAATGTGGCTCCCAAGGCGATGGCTGGCTTCACATCATGCTGCTCCCTCAGGACAGCCCGGCCCTCTGCAGTCCCCACCACGCTCCAGCCCGTCGGGTACCTTCCGAAGAAACCGTCCCACCGTGGGCGACCAGTGCCCCTGGCCCAACCCTGGTTCCCCCGCCTCACCTTCAGTAGCAGGTCGACAAAGGCAGAGTACAGCTTCGACAGGGGCTTCAGCAGCTCGGGGGTGCCCGGGGAAACGAAGACCCCGGCTACAGTGGCTGATACATTGTCCATAGCGAAGGACCGCTCGCTGCGGACCCGGCCGGACCGGGCAGGACCGGGCAGGACCTGGCTTGACCGGGCCGGACCCGGCAGTGGCAAAGAAGTCTTTCCCAGTGGCAGTGGCAGCAGAGGGCGGAACTGCACAGCTACACCTTCGGCTTCGTGCTGCTCTATGAACCATAAACACAGGTAACAGAGGGTCTCCAGGACGACCACAAAGGGGCAGGGCTTCACAGAGAGGGCGGGGCCAAAGCTGGACACCGCGCGGGGGCTTGGCGGGAGCGTCCAATGAAGGAGGCCGGCGGGCAGAGCGCCCAATGAGGGCGGCCGGGGGTGGGGTCCCGTGGCAGCAGAGCAAGGCTGGCCAGTAGCCTTGCTAGGGCACCAAGCTCAGGCGCCTTCACCGCTGGACCTGGGCACCAGGCCTTGCAAGTGCCGCTACATGGCTGCTGGCCTGGCTGGCACCTTCACCCGGGTGGGGCGGGGCCACGCGTCAAAGTTCAGGGTGCAGACCCCTGGCGCTGCGGCTCACCTCAGAGCCATGGCCCAGTCCCAGGTGGCTGGCATTGTAGGTGAAGGAGCCTCCCCTCGTTATTCACAGTGTGGATTAAAAGGATCAGCTACTGATGGCAGAAACAAACGACTATATCAAAAAAGCATTGGGTGATTTTTTTCTATGTACTCAACAGGTCTTTCCTGATTATGTCTCAAAAATCAAGAAGCAAAAAGGGAAAAGACTGTAAATCTGATTACTTAACACAAAACAGAAAACGTGGAAAGGAAAGTTTGTAAATGGATAAGGGGAGGAACGTTGAAGGGAGGGTAGGGGAATGGGAAAGTAAACAGTACCATGTAGAGGTAGAAATCCTCTATGATGATCATTAGGTATGTCCCAAATGTACCAATAAATGTAACTGAAGTGAAAACACACAACGCTTGTTCAGCCCCTGCCTACAGAAACAAAACACAGGGAAAATAAGCTAGTGAGGCTCAGAAAAGATGTGTAAGTAGCTGTGCCACGGGAACACGGCTGCATGGCTCCTAACTGCACAAAAGCTTGCTGAGGTGGCTGGCCAGAGCCCTGAACTGAACAGCACTGGGGAGAGATGCCTCACTGTATGGAATGACAAGAGCCCTAAATGACTGCTGCCAACCATTTAAAGAGATTATGTCAAACTAAATTTGAAAGGGTTTTGGCCCAGACAGGACTCTAGCCAGAAAAGCCTCAACAGGAACCAGGAAGCTCCTATCTCCCCCACCCCTAGGAATTTACCGTGATGTCATCTTCCCCACCCCTGGGAATTTACCTATGGTGCCAAACTTAGGACCAGGGATTTGACTCAGCGGCTCAAGCACTTGCCTGGCAAGTACAAGGTCATGAGTTCAATTCCTGGTACCAAAAACAAAAAAATGAACACTAATGGTCCTGTCTACCCCTGACAACCATGAAAGCGTTTTATAGGCACTACTGCAGACCCCCTCCACAAGCCCATACAGGTCACTCCTGAGTCTCCATCACCCTATTCTCCCTTTGTGGATCAAGTCCTGATGCTCAGGTTCCTTTAAAATCACCCCAGGAGTCCAAAGGTCATATCACCAAGGTCATTAAGACTGGATCCTGGGATTCTCCACTGGCTTTGATATTTGGAAAGCCTCAACCCACTGAGGACTCCACACTGAACTCATAAATGACAGAGAGAAAAAAAAAAAAACACAAGACTTTCCACCAGACAGCCTGGCCTTCCACAGTGGCCTGTGCCAGAGTCAGGTGCTGGGTGTTATTTTGTGAGCGTGGTATCTAAGCCAACACTTGACACGGGGAAGGTAGGTACTCAACAATAATCTCCACATGAATCATCTACTCCATCCTGTCCTCAAACAACAAGATGTGTTTAAAGTAGCGGTTTTTTCCCCCACTGGCAAATAATAAATTTAAAAGCATGAAAAAGAGAAAGTCACTTAGCTCTACCCATCTAGAAACAAGGAGGTTTGGTATTATTAGGACACTTCCTTCCAGTTATTTTCTAGGCATGTTTTTTTAACCTTTGGAGTTAGATGGTAGGCACACTGTAACTTTTACCAGAAACATAGTCCCTGATTATCTTTTAATTTGCTCCTAAATATTATTTTGCATAACTTCATAAACCTCCATTTTAAAGACACATCCACTGGAATTGACCTATCCACTATCTCCAGCCCACACCAGTGGAAATATAGGTTGTTACCAATTTTTACTAGAGTTTTTAAAAAATCTGAATGATGGGTGCATAAAAATATCATCTATATTTCATGTTTTGTCTCAGCTACATCCCCAGAAGAATACTTATCTTATTAGACTATTTGGCCATCTTGAGATTTCGGCTCAAATCTGTAAAACTGAACCACGCTTTATATTTATTCTTTACAGAAATGAGGGAAGGGGCTGTGAGCTACAACCCTAGTTAGCCCCATTTGTTTATTTATTTAGAGAAAGACGCTCACAGTTACCCAAGCAGGGCCGGAACTTGCAATCCTCCTGCCTCAGTCTCCCAATTAGCTGGAATCACACATGTGCACCACACCGTCTCTTTTTCTTTTTAATTTGAGGTCTTCATTCTAGATGACTCTGATTTATCTACAGACTAAGCAGTCCTTCCCAGCTCTGGGCCTCCAAATCAGATAAACGCATCTTCCTTATACTCAACCCAACCCAAGCCAAAATCAGAGCCCTGTGGTGCTCCCTTGCTGACCTCCTCCCAGGCTGACTCTGCACCAGTAACTAACAGCGTTTGCATAGGATCCCTAAATTAAACCAATACCACCACCCAGCCCCTACTATTAAATCATACTACTTATGATTTAATACAGACAAGTGTATCTTAAGAAACTGTGAACTACTTTACTAAAGCTGCTGCATCATTCCCTTCTGGTTTAGTAAGCAAAACATCACATAAAACAGGAAATAGATT